CTATGCTTCTAACCACCTTTAAAATATCTTGCCTCATTTTTTAAAAAAACATACTTGAATTTCCTCGCCATACTCGACCGCTGCCGTATATAACCTTGCTGAGCGCAGAAAACAGGTTTACGCGCAATTTTCTATCGGCCATCTTTTACCAAATAAAAAGTTTCGTAGAACTAACCAGAATACTTTAGGTGTGCTATCCACTTTAACACCTTGACTTGATAGATAGCCAACATGGAACAGAATGAAATGCGTTATGACGAACTGCAAAATCTGCATGGTGGTGATGTTTCGCGCAACCCACGCAGGCACCTTCACACCGTATGATCGCAACATGTAGTAACTGGAAGAAGAGATAAGAGTAAGAATTTGATTAGTTAACTTAAGTTTTGTGCCTAATTGACGTTAATAACAAATTATATACTCACCCATACATAATAGAATGAACAGTGAAATTCATCCATGTAATCCAACTGTTATAGGCGATATCTTGTGAGTACGACCAGATAGCATAGTTCAGGGTCATTACGTGGTGATACCTAAAAAAAAAGTCTCACCAAAGTTTTTCTTCGAGGAGATAGTTAGAAACCAGCCTTACTTACCAGTGCAGGAAAATAAGCGGTTTTTTGCGCAGCACAATCATGATCGTATCTCCAAGCTCAAGCACTTTACTCATAACGAACAAAAAGGTGAAATATCCACTAATGCCGTTGAAGTAGTCGCCGATATGTGTATAAGAGGCTACAACAAGAACATAAGTTGGAGCAGAAAAATGATTTTCAGATCAACCTCACTCACAAACAATTCCTCTGTAGTGAATCTCATAAAAAAGTCCATAACCCGTCGCTATGCTGCCAATAGTGCTGAATATCGCCAACCAAGCGTTCCAGAAGTTTAAAGCAGCAGTGAGCTGAATTGTCCCACATTATAAGCATGAATAATCATGCGAAAATTTTTTGTGGATTTGCAAACTTCGAATCTGCTTGGGAGTTGCCTATATATTAGGATTGAAAAAAAATCTCTCTTCGCCTGCTTACTTCTAATTAATCATTTCCTTAGAAGACGTCTGTCAGAGCTATCACTATGTTTTTT